CCTCGTTTGTTTGTTTGTGCGGGTTTTCTTCTCTCCTTCACAAGTATAAAAGTCCCCGAGTACAGCTGCAAACTCCATCCACCCTGAGACCTGAGCGCTACGGGGTAAAGCAAAGCTGGGGAAAAGGGGTGAAAGCAGCTCCCCAAAACGCTGGGAAGACCCCTTCCCAAAATATAAATGTCCTGCCTTTTGCAACCAGCTTAATCCCTCCGTGAGTGACAACCCCGCGCTGCCACCGAGGATGTGCGGTACCCGCGATGCAAGCGGGTACCAGGGGAGGGGGAACCTCCCTCCACCCCTGCCCTGCTCCTCCGAGCCCCCCACGAACCAGGCCAGCCTCATCAGCTATGTTTTCTCTTTATTGTTTGATATATTTATGTACCACATTATATGTTAAAGATAGATTTTTTTTTTTTTCTGATATACATTTTTCATCTTATTTACCACAATGACACCACACGGACATTGGAAACAGCTCCACGGATCTGGTAGATTGCACAGAATGAATTGTGTCGTAGTTTTGTTTCTGAATCCTGAACGACGTCAAATCCAACAATTTATTTTTTTTTTTTAACTTTTCATAATTTAGAAATAATTGTTAAAACAAACCAAAATCAAAGTCACCGAGAAGTGGACTCCACGTCTGCAATTTGCAACCAGAGGCAAAATATTGTAATCGATGGGAAGCACCGTTCCTCGGTGTGAATCCGGATGGAAGAATTAAGCAGTCCTGACATCTACGTGACTACGGTGTAAACATTGCAGGTAACTGGCATCACTGGTCATCAGCCAACTGCTTGGACTTGGGCTGGTCATACAATCCAAGTCTCATCTACATCCATCTCACACAATGTAAAATGAAAGCCCCTTGCTCCCAGCACCCACAACTGGTTTCCTTCCATCTCAAGCACAGTAACCCAATCCCAGCGGATCCGGCACCTGTGTTTCAGCTCCCGAAACACTGAATTGCATATCTGTAAGGGGGGGGTATCGAACACTGCGACTGTTTCCCAACACATCATTTGTTGGGGGGGGGGAGCCAAGCTTCAGGCAACGAGTGAGGACATAGGGGTGGGGCACCAGATAATTTCCTTCCAAAAATTCTAAATAACAAAAAATATATATTTAAATCTTAGCTTATTTAAAAAGACAGCAGGGCAAACACTTTAATCTCTTCTTAGTTCCTTTAATTTGCAGATTCTATCACATAGAATTTGTTGGATGCACGTAACGAAAATAATGACTCTTTCCATTAAAGGGATGCAGAATTATTTGGCTATGCGGATATTCGATGCAATTCTCTTACTGCAACCAGCTCTGACCCCTCCTTAGTCTTCAGCATTGGTTCTGAAAGCCTCTATGAGGCCTTCTAAAGAGTGGATGAACCCAGAGACGCTGCAGATACCCCCTATAACGAAAATGGCCACATCAAAGAAGACATGGTGCCACAAGAGCTTCCTCCACAAGAGTTTGAGGTGGAAAAGACTGGGGAGCAGGAAGCAGAGCCCTGCACCTGTGAGGCTCCCAGTAAGACCCATCAAGAGGGCAAAATGTGGGACATAGATAGCCATGAGCAGGGTGAACACTACCAGGGCACACCTGAGGGTGAGTCCCCAGGATTTGAGCCGCCCATCACCCCCGTAGCAGTTGGGGAAGAATGCCCTGTTTCCATCTTGGAAAAGGGACCGCTCCAGCACTTCCACAGCCGCAAAGAACGGCAAGGGGTAGGAGAGCAAGGCTTTGGCCACCAAGAAAATGTTGACTACTGCCCTAATGGTGGATGGCAAGTTGTCTGTAATGACTTCCTTGGTCTCATCAGCCCAGGTCAGATAAGCAACCAAGGCAAAGAGTCCCTTAAGGATGCAAGCTGCTATGTGAGTCCAGTTCATCATGCAATGAAACTCCTTGGGGTTCTGCATATTCCCCTCCAAGGAAGGCAGAAAGATCTGCGAGGTGTAGCTGAAGACAATAATGCCAATGGAGATGGGAAACTTCTTCACATCAATGTAAAACTTGACTTTGTCCCAGGCCCAGTCGTGTGCCCTGGAGAGGCAGTAGGCGATCACCAAGATGTTGATGACAAAGTGGGCTAATGTGCAGAGCAAGCTGAACTTGGAGACTGCCTTGAGGTTCTTCAAGAACGCACAAGGCAGGAGCACTGCCGTGGCAATGATGGACCACGACTTCTGGGAGACGGGCAAGTTGGGGAAGCTGTTGTACATCAGGTTCCCACTGACCACTACATAGAGAATGCAAGTCATGACCAGTTCAATGATCTGAGCCACGTTCACAATTCTGCCTCCGAGGGTGGGGAAGCGGGGCGCGCAGCACGCGTTCGCTATGTCCACGTAGGAGTCTCTCACCCTGACTATCTCCCCATCCTCATTCTCTTCATACAGACAGGCAATAAGGATTTTCCCAGTGTAGCAGCAAACCACTGCAGCGAAAATTATTAAAAAGAGTCCTAGGTATCCACCATGAAGGATGGCATAGGGCAGGCCCAGGACAAACATCCCCTGGAAAGAGACAAAATGGAAACCGTGTTGCTCGTCTGACGGAGGACACCGCAGGCGCCCGGGCCCGGGCACACGCAGCCGCACAGTCGCAGTCACACGTGCGGTCCCACACCATCACGCCCACACCATGGCTCACACGGTCACGCCATCGCCCACGCGCCATCACACAGCCCCCCCCTTCGCTCTGACGTAGCACTCCCCTCACTCACACACACATCCTCACTCACACCCGCATCATCTCACCTCGCCACACCCAAAACCAGTGAGGACAGTTTTGGTGCCCAGGCTCTGCTCTCTCTATCCCCAGCACCTCTCAGTGCCCCAAGACCCCCCAGAGCTGGGGACCCCCAGAGGGACCAGTCAGGGACCC